GGTTCGCGGACCCCGTTCATTCGCGTCCAACGCGCGTTTGAACGGGGATTGAACGCGAATTTAACCCGCGTTCAATATTTCAACACGAAACCCGCGTTGAATCGATTTTCGGACACACAGCCAGCCGAAGGTTTTCTTTCTTTTGAAATAAGAAAGCATTTTTCTCTTTTTTTCTGCTTTTGCGTGGTTTTGACGTATGCATGCCTGTGGATATGGTGTTTATGGGTGTTTTCGGGCGTTCGGGTCTTCATACTAGCCCTGCGATTGGCTGGAGGGACGGTCCGAACCTTGGACGTAAGCGGGCTCGGACGGATCAAGAAAGATTGAAGTTTCGGTGCCAAGACCTGAAAAAGTTGGGGAAGGCAATGTGCATCGGGAGGGACCTTGATCAGATGAGAAACAAGCAGCCGATAAAGGTCCGGGATCTCGGTTATGAATGACCACCGGGCTACCGCAGGAGTTCTTAACGGCTCATACCTGACTGATCCGCGGTACTAGGAGCGAGGCCGTGATGGAGTAGGGATGCCTACGGCCGCTATGGTGGCTTCTGGAAGCTGTGGAAAGAAGGAACGCTCGGTAGGTGGTGTCCGTGGGGCTTTTTTTCGCGAGGAATGATCGATCCTACGCGGCGAATGGGATAATCGGCGTGAAGGCAGAGCAGCCGGGGGAGAGGGGCACATGGGAAGTTTTGTGTGGAGGGGGGGGAAGCCGTCACGTCTTTTTGTGAGGAACTGACCCTCCTTTTCACATGACCAAGCCTGCGGAAACATATGTTGCTAATCTGATAAGCCAACCACATACGTACGTGCCTCCCCTGTAGAAGGTTGGGGGTTGACAGTCTGAGCAGGCACGCTTCAGTGGGCATGAACCCGGGCCTGATGGGCAAACAGATACTTTGAAGACCCGTCTTGCACCTCTTGATAACTATCTCCTGCTCCGGGGGCATCCAACCGCGGTCTACGTCCGAGCAAGACGCAGAAGGGGCAAGGTGCCGAGTCGCTAGCCTTAGTCCTCGGGCAGGGGTGTACTCCGACACGCTGAGAAGAAGGCTCTGTGGGCCCTATAAGAAGGGGAATCACGCAAATCAGCTTGTAGGGTATGATTGGAAAGAACTCTCTGATTGGCGAAAGGGAAGGGGTGTTGAGAGGAGGAAACTGCAGAGACTGCGCCAGAAAGGTTGGGGGGAGGGCGAAGGAAAAAAGAAGACTATAGGCGGTTGTCGACGTGGCGAGTAAGTCGGAACGTCGCTACCAGAAAGTCGGGCGGGGAAAATGGTTGAACAGAGTAAGCTCCTACTAGCTAACTGCCGAAGTGTGGGGCCGAGGAGTGGGCCGGGTGCCTAAGATTCGATCTTGGAAAGAAGAGGGAGGGGAAAGTTGCCTTGACACCGAAAAGGGGAGGGAAGTTGGAAAGAGATCAAAGAGAGAGGGCGTTTGTGAATCCTCTCGAGGAGCAAAGCGGTGAACAAGATTGGAGGAGGAGTAAGGAAAGAGGATCGAGGGGGAAAGAATGTGCGGTCCGGCGGGAAATCAAAAAGAAAAAAATCTCCGAAAAATTTCGAGTCTGCCGCCAGAGCTCACATTGGCGGTGGTCGACAAAGCCAGTAAGGCGAAACGTTGCGGCCAAAGAGCCAGGCGGGAAAAGTTGTTGAAGAAAGTAATCTCCTGCGTACTAACTGACGAAGAAATGCGGCCGTGGAGCGGGCCGGGTGCCTAAGATTCGATCTTGGAAGGGAGAGAGAGAAGAGGGCTGCCTTGACACCAAAAAGGGGGGGGAAGTTGGAAAGCGATCGAAGAGAGAGGGCGTTCGTGAATCCTCTCGAGAAGCAAAGCGGTGAACGAGATTGGAGGAGGAGTGAGGAAAGAGGATCACGGATGAAAGAATGTGCGGTCTGGCGGGAAATCAAAAAGAGAGAAAATTTCCACAAAATTTCGAATCTGCCACCCGAACTCACTAATGGTCGAAGAGCAGGACAGCGGACGTGGACCCAGCAGGCTGTATAAAAAGGGGAGGAGGTTACACTGAAGGGAGGCGCACGAAGTAGGCATACGCACCTCATGATCGAGACACGCCCGTCCAGAGACACTCTCAAGAGGGAGGGAGAAAGAGAGAAGGGAGAGAGCGAAGAGAGAGGAGGAGGAGAATAGAGGTGGAACGCACGAACACACGGAGGGAGGTAAGCGCTCGGCAGTACGGGCCAAGCGAGTTCGAGGAGAGGTCGAGCGGGCGAGAGGGAGGGAGAAAGAGAGAAGAGAGAGAGAGAGAGAGAGAGCGAACACGAACCTCGGCGGAGCAACATCGAAGTAAGGGGGCTCATTCCGACGAGAGGAGCACGGAGGTGGGGAGCTAGCAAGAACGCGCGACGCGCGCTCGAGGATAACATTCGCGGACACACGGGAGAAGGGACGCACGGAGGACGAGCGCACGGGGTCCTGCTCACATTTGCGGTGACACTGTACGGCGAGCTGCGGAGCTCTCCGACTTAGCATCGTGGGAGCGGGAGAGTAAGCACCCACGAGGCATCGCTCTCGAGGGAGAGGACCTCGCGTGCGGGGGAGGTCTTTTTCGGCTCGCTAAGTTGCAACGCCCGGTCTGACCGCTTTCGGGCGAGCAAGAGAGAGAGAGAGAGAGAGAGAGAGAGAGAGAGGGGGAGATCCTGACGTGGCGAAAGAAGGAGAAAGAAGGCGGGGGACAGAAGAGGACGGACGGCCATAGGGAGGAAGCGATCGGGATAGGAGTTAGCAAGCTCGGGGGCGCAGGAAGTGAGAGGTCGAGTCCGGACCCCGGGGCGCTCCTGAGGGAACTGGCTCCCGAAGGGGAGTGAGGGGCCGGGCCACGCGATCGAGAAGGCACGGAAAGACGCCGGAATACGAGGAAAGGGAACAGAGGAGAAAGAGTGAGAGAGAGTGGTATACGCGAGGTGACCGGTATCCGCGCACCACCGAGAGAGTGAAAGCAAGAGGGGTCACGCCCACGGAGAAGCGACGGTCGGACCTTCGCGGGCGGACGAAGCGGTAGGAGGCCGGCTCGCCATCACGGTTGAGGCGACGCCTTGACAGCGGCGGGTTGCGCCCTGAGGAGGGACCTAGAGAAAGAGGGAGAGGAAGAGAGAGGGAAAGACGGGAAAGAGAGAGAGGAGGGGGGAACGGCAGGATAAGAGAGAGAGAGAAGGGTGGGAGAGAAGCTGGGAATCAAGGCCCTAGCAGGGAGCTCCGTGGAAGTCAGGTGGACACCTCGGCGAGTTTCTGCTGGCTTCGGGCCCGCCGGCTGCTCATTCTCGGGGGAGGCCAAGGACCCGGGTCGACATCAGTGGCTATTCTAAAATTGCGATTGAGGAACTTAGGGAAAGTCGTCGCCGGCGAAGCTCTCGGCGGACCGAGAAGCCTCGGGCTTTTCTTCCGCACTCT